AGGGTGAGAAGTAGGAGGGTGAGGAAGAGAAGGAGGAGGGTGAGAAGTAGGAGGGTGAGGAAGAGAAGGAGGAGGGTGAGAAGTAGGAGGAGGAGGAAGAGAAGGCGGAGCGTGAGGAATGAGGAAGCACCTCCTTCTCCCCCCTTCCTCCGCTCCTCCTTCACTTTCCCCTCCCACACCTCCTCATCCTCCTCCTCCTCTCCTCGTCCTCCTCCCACTCCCACCTCTTCCCCATCCCCACCCCACCCTCGGGGATTTATTTCCTTGCTTGCGGATCAACTTTTTACTCGGGTTTTTTCGTTTTTGCCGATTTCTTAGTGGCTATGTATGAATTCAAAGTGGAGAGCGTGGCTATATATGGAGTCAGAGTGGAGAGCGTATCTATTAGGGTCCCTATTTATATATAGAGACCCTAGTGGTTAGATAGAGTGACGGCCTGATTCGGCCTAGTTTTCTGAGTTTGTTATCGCGTCGTGTGTGCGCGTGTTGATAAAGCTACTGCTGGTGGTGGTGGTGGTGGTGGTGGTGGTGGTGGTGATGGTGGTGTTGGTGTTGGTGGTGGTGGTGGTGGTGGTGGTGGTGGTGGTGGTGGTGGTCGTCGTCGTCGTCGCCGCCGTCGTCGTCGTGCTGCTGCTGCTGCTGGTGGTGATGGTACTGGTGGTAACAGTGCTGCTGGTGCTGCTGTTGTTATGTTGTTAGTGGTGATGCTGGTGGTATCAGTGGTGATGGTGCTGCTGTTGCTAGTAGTGGTAGCTAGGTCTGCTGTTACTGTTATAGATGGTAATTCTAATAATGATTATACATTCTTACAGTGATTGTGAAAATACACGCGACTGTATGCTAATCATATGTTATTGTTATATAGAAGGAGGCAGAGGAGCAACGGTTATCTAAGATTCCAACTTGGAAGCGGCAGATAATGGAGAAGAAGGAATCAGAAGCCAAGTAAGTAGTGACAAGAAGCCGTACATATAGCTTGATATATGCCATGCTAGCATATAGTTATTCTGTAAAATTCCTGCTAAATCTGTATCACACAGTTATTTATGTGGGAGTGAACATTATCAAAAACAAGCCGTTTTTATACGAACCATCAACGCAAGGAAGCAGAAACGGAACCATATCTCCTTTGAATCTGTGTAATCATGTGTGTATATAGATATATAATTATGACTAGCTGTATAACTCACAGCATTTCGCGTAGTTAATTGTGATATTGCGCAGAGTATAAGTAATGCAAATTCATAATGGGCAATGTTTTCTATTTATTTATTTATACGCAGTGTGTAATAATTATTACAATTATGCAAAGACAGTTCTTCTGTTTACAGAGCTGTGAGGGAGTCGATTGAGAAGTCTCAGCGAGAGAAGGCCGAGCGTGAGAGAGTGGAGAAGACTCCCAAGGTTGTGTCTGCAATCACGAGTAGTGCGGAGGAAGGCAAGCCCCTCGCTCCCTGGCTACAGGAGCTAAGGACGCGGCGAGCGTGAGTGCTGCCATCTGTAGGGTACTCACGCAAATAACTGCTCAACGAAGGCGTCACCCGCTGGTCTTCCGGTCGCGATCTGTTTTTCGCGATGACTGTAACGTGACATGGCGACTTTGAGTTTGAAGGGCACGGCAGGATGGCGTCTGCAATTCTGTCCAGTTTGGTTACTGGTGTGAGGCTGGGAGTCACGTAGACCTACAACAACTGTTGCCAAAGGCGTAACAAAAGACGTCGTTAGGATAAGGATTTTGGCTATATATACGTATATGTATGTATGTATGTATATATATATATATATATATGTTTTCAGGCTGTATAGAGGTAGTGCCCACTTTACAATGCTTAAGACAATGTAGGTCTATTCTGCCTTAGCACAGCCTAATTAATGTAGTCAATTGCATTTACATTCTCAGATAAAAATGAAGGCTGTAGGTTGCTGTCAAAGCAATTACTGGAGTTTATTTATATATCCCAAATAGGAACTGCATGCTGGCCTGCGTGGGTATGCGACTACGTACAGGCGTGCCGGCGTGCAACCGTGGGTACGTGCGTGCGTGCGTGCGTGCGTGCGTGCGTACGTGCGCGAGTGGCAGCACGTGTGGGCATTTGCACATATGCGTGCTTTGAGTAAGTGCGTGGGTGTGTGCATGTGCTCGTCTTACCACACACTGGGTACTGACATTGACCAATTCATTGTCTTACTCGACACAGAGCTTAAGTGCTGATCACAGCTCCTATTGGATGCCGATGCATGTCCACTGATTGTAGTTCTCGTAGGCAAATCTACGAATAGAGAATAATTTGTACTTGGAAGGTTGATTAAATCTGCAAGTGATTGTATTTAAGATTTATTTGCAATATTTTCATTTAATTTGATATTATATTAAAAACTATGAATTCCATTGTAAAATGCAGGAGAGGTCACTCATTCCTACAAATGAGTGACAATGCTTGACAATGTATTATATGAGTTCATGTAGTTCTAGCCGTGTAGCCGCTTCGTTCCCGCTACAGTAGCGAAGCCTCAAGGCTCCCACTGCAGGGTCGAACGGCTACATGCGTAAGACTAGGGTTCTTGGAACATGAATTATGCGTTATAAAGGAATACTTATCGTTTAAGATAAATATATCAAGAATCTGTATATAATGTGAAAAACGCGTGTTTCGCCGTAAGTACACGTATGTAGGCAATGAAGGCATGTCAGCCAAACATTCCATGCATACCCCGGCGCTGTTCTTGTATTCAAATCAATACGACCATGCATAATTTATTGCCGGCATGTTATCGTTAAGCTGTCCCACGTAGCATTGCATGTTAATTAGGTGTAGAAGTACGTAATTCTACCGCTGTATGCTGGACTGAAATCGAGTCCAATGCCCCGACGTGTATGGTCCGTACGTTAACACATTCACTCCCTAATAGGGCATGACCTATGTTCGGAGCTAACTCCATAACTAGTTCTAAGCCTGTGGTGACGCGAAGGGTCGCATATGTGGAGCCAAGCCATGACAGTGCATTATAAAGAAGGCATACGTCGCAAACATATTGCTAAATCACCATCGGACGACCATTTTATTACACTCACGTAATTATGTTAGCTGTTTTGTTAAGAGATTATGAGGAAATACGACTGCCACACCTCCCGGAAGATGTGAGGACGGTGTTGTGTGCTTGTTTGCCAGGTTTGTTCGTTGCTTAGTGACGATGATAAATCTGTATATTATATTTTGCACCAATGTATTAAACAATATTATAATGAAAGCATTCATTACTTCTCTTTTGGGGTTTATCTGCATTTATGCCTACTACACTATCAGAAACATTCGTCATGACACTTTTAATCGAATTCCTTAACCTAAGGACACACCTTAAACTAAGGACCACAACTTAACTACACATTTACACTTACACTTACACACTTTACAAACATTGGACGCATACGCACAGAGATACAAACACGCACGAACGCACAGACGTACGCACGCACGGAACATGACGTAAGGTAACGTAAAGTAATGCAACGCAACGCAACGCAACACAACACGAGACAGCATAACACATCTTAACACGTGATGACATGACATCACATAACTGCGAAATTCACACAATTGTGAACTCAGTGAATAGAAGCACATTTAATGAAAGACTTAACGTAAGGTAACGTAATTATAGTGTAAGATAAAGAATGGAATCGTAATGGTAAATGCTTGGATAAGCAATATGAAGATTATTGGTCGTTCGGTCATATTTTGCACAATGCACATAATAATTATCATCTCATGAATCTCCCTTTCTCACGCTCCCACTATCTTGTCATCTTCCTCACTAACTACATTCTATCCCTGCTCCCCATCCACGGGTTTATCACTTTCATTTTAAACCATTTCTTTTCATGTTCAGGTTGCTTCTGCCTCGTCGCCTTGCCTCACCTTCTACCTCCCATTCCTCTTGTTTCGCCCAGTATTCCTGCTCTAGTATTCCCTGTACTTCCTTCTTCCTTTACATTCCTTACGCGCGTATTCCCATCATTCTCCTCCTTCCATATATCTGCAGTGCATATATTTAATTAGTGGTATATTGTTTCGTGATCACGATTCACGGTCGATTAGACGGTTATTCTGCCACATTAACCTAAAGTTTTTCAATTCGCGTGCGTGGAACTAGAGGAAACAACTTACATAAGCGATAGTAGTGGTATTACATCCCCTCGTCCTTCTATTCTGCCTTCTGAACATGTAGTATATCTGAAATTATAAGGAAATGATAGCTAATCACTACGGCACCTGCTATCTACTGGTCATTACGAGTTGAAAGCTATGACATTGTCCTATGTTCGTATTCATACGTATATACATGGCCGTATAGCCGTGGAAAGATTCTGTCTAGGCCTATTTGTCCCCGAAACAGTGGATTCCTTTGACACAGCCGACATAAGCAGCTGTGAGTCGTGCATCACTGGCGAGAACTGTAGCCGCGATAGAAAAGTTCCAGCGCGAGTTCTGTCTTTGATATAGTCCCTTGGACTTTGAATACTAACATTTATGAGATTATGAGGTTACGAGTGGTTTAGGTATGCTTTGATATGAGTAGTAATTTTATATTATAATAAAGCCTGGCAGAGTTAACTCGTTAACAGCAGCTTCATCAACTGGTCTAGCTGTCGTTGCCAAGTTAACATGTTAATCCAAAGTAAGCTTGTTTATACAGATTAATCATAAAATGACATTAATCCTAATATTATTATGATATCCGATTAATATATCATACCCGACTATCTATACTATCAATAGAATCAATAGAATCAATCAATAGACAAATTTGTCATTATTAACCCCTGATACTACTATATACATGGGTTTTTCCATCGCGTCTATAGTTCCGCGAGTCAGTCCATATCTGCGAGGTGAAGAGGAACTGCCAAAAACATCGGCTGTCTATTAGACGAGGGTTCCCTGTCGTGCGGACCTTGCCAGGGTAAAAAGTTTGTATTTAAAGAGAGGGTGGCAGCCATGTAGGTGCGGCACCTCAGGCGCAGATTGCCACCTCGCTACTTCGATGGGGCTGCCCCCGCCATATTTCGCTCCCCATCCTAATGAGTAATGTATAGCAATTAATACATCGGCACCTAGGCGGCCTAGCACCCAATATAAATGACCTAGGCCCGATGTTGAATATTCAAACAAGTGCCGCAGAGCGCAATACGTATCTGAGGGCTGGTTCTCTGCTGATAAATTTCAAACTGCAGTCGTGTATTGTGTCGTGCACATATGACCTGAAACATCTGAAGTCGCGGGGATGGTATCAAGAGCGGCGTAGAATTAGGGAACAATACGCACTACGATAGCGCCATGAGTTCACTGTTACATTCGAGCCTGTCGGGCCCCAGCTAACACAAAAAACGTTATTATAAAATTATTGTATGGTTCTGATAACATTATTAATAACGTTTATTCAACGTAAATGTGTCGGGTTTTTATAACATTTTCCATACGTTTGTAAAATACGTTAATATAACGTTATTGTATAAGGTCCTGGCAACGTTGAAATAACGTTAGTTATCGTATACACAATAACGTGTTTACAACGGGAATTTTCTACTTAAACGTATTATTTGTTGACGTAATTTGTTTGTATGTGCGTGCGTGCGTGCGTGCGTGCGTGCGTGCGTGCATATATATACAGTGGCGTAACTAGGGTATGGCAGGTATGGCATGTGCCCTGGGCGCCACTTGGAAGGGCCACTGAGCAATTTATGTTAAATTCAGACAGACCATCTTCGGATAGTGAAAAAAGAATTTTCTTCAGATGTACACTCTAAAAACAGATTTTTGTTGGCCGACAGGACAATTACCAGATCTGAAAATAAGCGTCGACGCCTGAGTTCAACCTATTCAGTTGGCAGATAGATTAACTTATTAACCACATTACGTTGCCTTACGTTACAGTGACAGAGTCTGAGCAGTTCAACCCTCAGCAATTTGAAGTTTAACTTTCTTTTTTTAAAAGTATTTTAGTCTTTGGTGTCAACTCAAAAGTGATATTTTTGTGATGAAGATTGTTTAATAATGCTAACGCAGAGTGCAGGAAATTGCATATAAGAGGTGTAATTTTAAGAGAAAATGTCGGGGGAGGACCCTCCAACCCCCCTAGTCGATGCGCTGCTCGGCTGCTACCTGCGGCAGCAGACAGCCGCCTACTTTGGTAGTTTAGCCTGCTGCTTTAAAAAGCTGTGACAAGCCATGGCTAATATCATCAGTCCAATATTGGTCTAATATAGGCAAGGCAATATAGGCAAGCCAAGTATAGCCAACATAACTCCAATATGAACAACTTAGCGGCACGTCAATATCGGTAAGCTAGCATAGGCGGGTTCATTATGGGTCCATGATAGACATTCTCACACCAGTTTCTGAGCACTTTAGCAGACATTTTACATCTGTTACAGGTAATCCACGTTTAGCTGAGCTATGCACAGAACTATACTCTGATTAAAAAT